AAAAAATAAGTTCATGACATTTAGTTGTTGAACGAAAAAAACCATTTCTTTCAACTTTTGCCATTTCCATTATTAATGATTGAAATCCTTTAGTCTAAATTCTATCAATTATTATAAGATTCCGGCGAGTAAATTCTTCGACGTGATCAGATGATAATCGAGAAGATCTAAACATTCATTATCACTTTGTTAACATGATAAGATATCTAAGAATCGGAATGGTTTTAACAAAATTAAAAATTAAAAGTTACTTGATTAATTCAATGTCAGTTTTAGAATGGTGTTTGGGCATCAATGGTTATAAGTATTGGATGTACCATACCGCTTATCGTAATGGGTTCTGCAGCATCGGCATTGTACAAAAAGAAACATCCTTATCCAAAATAGTGATTTTTAATTTTTTCAAATTAACTTGAAATTATTCCATTTCTTAAAACTTGATCCGTTTTTTTTTTGTCAGTTCATTCCAAAAACATTCAATTCAATTTTTAGCATTGTAAATGAGCCAACAAATACAGATGGACAAGGAGCATCAGGCACACTTGTTACTGATTCCTATGACGTCAGAAGTAAACAGCAAAAATTGTGAGTCCTTCGTGAATCAGCAAAGTGTGTCAAATTTCATGAAAAAAACTGTTGATATGAGAAGAATATCCGTTCAATTGTAATAGTTTTTTTAAATTTAATTTTGAAATTAGACTTGCTTAGATTCAAAATTATCGTTCCCTTCACTTTTTTCTTTCAATTTTTCAGAGTGTATCCAAATACCTATGCGATGTATTATGGTTATCCGCCACCCTATTTGAGAACAAGGAGTTAATACGGTACAAGATATCCGGCAATATTATCTGGAAAAGTTATTATTTGTATTTTCGAACTATGATGGGTTAATTTTTGAAACGTTTTACTCTGTCCCTTTTTCTTTCTCTCAACTGGATTTCGAGGGAACAATTTTGATAATTTGTTTCCAACCGAATTATTTTTGTCTTTTTTTTCAAACATAAACATGTAATTTCTTTTTTTGTTAACTCATTGTTTTATTAACTTATACAATTAGAAAGTTGGAAATTTGAAAATCTTTTGCAAACATTTTTTGTAATATTTTGAAAATTTTACGAAAAATATATTTTTCATCTGTTAAATTTTATTATGATTATGTTTTCCATTCGAAAGTTTATCTTTTATCATTTATCATTCATACCAATTCATGCAATAAATTTTTTCCTTTTTTTACTACTGAATATGTTTAATATTTATAATATAGCATGGTTTATCATTCATACTAATTTTTAATTACCATTATATTTTCCATCAATATGGAAATGTGGAAAATGAAGAAACAACGAATACCGTATCAGCCATCTTGAAAAGCATCGAATCAATGGATAAACAATTAACTTTGATTGTAAATGAACATTAAATATGAGGAAATCATTAGAGTTAATTTAAGTTCCATATGGCACAAATAAGCTTAATTAATATAATTTCATTTTAATTCATTCACAACTCATAAAATGTTCCGCTTTTTTTTTCCTTAATCGCTTTCCAGATGTTTCATTTTGGATTCCGAATGTTTTTTTGCTTTTATTTGCGTTTCTGTTTTAAACATTTACATTTAACGATTTGTCTGATTAAAACAAAATGAGACAAATGGATTTGGTATGGAATATTTGGGTAAGGGATGAATTTTTCGTTTCATATCAAACATGTACCATTTTCACACCTCACCAGATGTTCCGGATAAGGCGGTCTTTTCCTTTTTTTTTGAGAATCAATTTTTCCTTTTTTTTTTGAGAATCAATGTTTGAATTCTGAAATTTGAGATATTATTCTGTATGAGAGAGAAATTATTTTGTTTGTTTTTTTTCTGTCTCCTTTTTTTCCTTGATTAAAAAGTCTTTTTTCCTACAAAAAAGAAAGCAATAAATAATGTAATAAATTTAATCTCAAGTTTGCTTTATTAAAAAAAAAAATTGAAATGATAAAAAAATTTCTTTGCTTAGTCCGGAAAAAAAAAATCTATGAATAGACTGTATGACTGTGTAATCGTAAAATCATTATCGAAAAATTCCGATTCCGGAAAGTTTTGCTAACAAAAATATTTTCCGAAATGTTTGCATTCATTTTCCCTTTTTATTCCTTGCAATTGCATTCAAATGATTCAGTTAGCCAAAAAAAGTTTCAATACAATGGTGAAATGAATTTCATCCCTTTTCAATAACGATAAAAATTCCATTAAAGACGAAGAAGAAGAAGCAGAAGAAGGAGAAGAACCTCCGAAAATCATTCCATCTCCATTTTCCTCTCTTTCCTCCTTTTTTTTTCCTGCTTTCCTTCTCCTTTTTTTTTCTTTCCCTTTACTTTTTTCATTTCTCTCGCTCTTTCCCTCTTTTTTCTGTCTTTTAAAAATGTGCATTGAACAAAAATTCGTCATCACATGAAAATCAAATGCAAAAGTGGGATAGCTTTTATACTATTGGAAGTATTGGCCATTTGCTCCGGTTCAACCGGATCAATAATCATGTGAAAAATGTTGACATCATTAACGTTTCAAATAGACGTATCAAGTAGTGTCTATCC